TTGGTCTCCACTAGTTAAAGTATCAGTTGAGCCTGGAAGCGTATCTTGTGGACTTCCCTTACGATCCAACTGCTCCTGGCTTCCTCTCGCCCCATCAGCACCACCAGACGAAGTCCCTTGGGTTGTATGAAGTGTACCCCTACTAGGAGCTCCAGCACCTGCTGCAGTGGCCACATTAGTGGGACAGGAAGCTTCAGCAGGAACACCAGAATCAGTATTGCAAGAGGCAGTTGAAGCAGAGTCAAGAGGTGGTGCCTGTGGTGGTGCTGGTAGGCCAACAGCTGAAGAACAACGAGTCGTACCTTCAGAAGCTTCAGTGCAATTCTCTGCAGTCTTCGGAACACTGGGACTGCAACCTTCCTTCTCAGGAGGGTTCCCACAATCAGAATGAGAATCTTCAGGTCCATTCAGGACAGTTTTACACTTAGGGAGGGTATTACCTGAAGAACAATCATCACCGGCAACAGGTTGTCCTTGTAGACCAGGAGAATGAGAAGCTTCAGCCTTTGCAGGTTCACCGGCCACCACAAACACGCATTGAAAACTGAGAAGGAATGCAATAAGATACAACAGACGTCGCATCAACATTGCAAATATAACTTTTTCTTGTTTTGGTTGTCTGAACCAGGTACCAAAAAAAAGGTAAAATATAAAAAAAGGAAAAACAGACATTAACAGAAAAAGGTAATACAATGGAAAAAAAAGAACACATATACAGACAAAAGAGGGAAAACAACAAAACCGAAACCCACAAAAAATAATATTCAAATAGAGGTAACAATAATAAAAGTATAAAACGTCACCTCACACAATACCCAAGAAAAGCAAAGAAAAAAACAAAAACAAAAATGGAAGTAATAAAAGAAACAAGGGCATCATAAACACAAAGCACAGAAAACCATGGCTATGCTTGAATTCCTATGCTATTATAAATATAAAGGTATAATAATTATTTTTTGTCCATCTGAACAAAGCATATCATCACAAAAATGCAGGAGAGAACCCACAACGATCCA